CCTCTGTGGGTTTTCACCTGCGGCCCCACATCCAGCCCAGTCGCACATCCCATCACAGCCCCTGAGCCACCTGATTGTGGTCACCGCGGACGGGAGCGGAAGCCCCTGAGGTCTTGTTCACACCCGTATCCCAATGTTTGGCACTCGGCGGGTGCTCATAATTCATACTTGCCTGTGAACGGAGTTGGGGAGGCTGGTTATTAGGGTTTTTGTGAATGTCAGCAACCTTAGTTGGCTTGTGGGATGGTGAGTATTTAACCTGCAGGGAGGCCTTCGCAGAGTTGGCTCTGTGACCAGAGCCCTTTCTTTAGTGCTTTCCTATCAGCCCACACCTCGGGGACCAGAACAGTGGTGGCTGGTGCTTGCGTGGGGCATTTGTATGGAAGAAGCAAACTAATATTTGCGAAGATGTGGCTAAAATCTAAACGAGCTCCCCATCCCAGCTAGGGACGGCCTTTCCCCCTGTTCTAGAGGAAGTTAAATACTATAAAGTTTAAGGGTCTTGGACTGGATGAGCTCTGAAGCCTTAATATTTCTGGCTTTGATAGCATGTATTTGTTTAATAGCAGAAGCCATGATCAAATCCAGGGGGAAGTGAATGAGTAGGAAATGGACAGCTGTGTGTGTGTGCACATGCACGTGTGTGTGCACATGCATATGTGTGTATATGCACGTGCACACATGCTTTTCCAGGCCTCAGTCCCCTTATCTGCAAAATAAGAGTTAAAAGGGGGGGGGCGATACAAATTCTTGTTTCCCTCAAGGATTTAATAAGCTGTCACCAGAAAGAGGGGCTTGGGCCAGAAGGAAGCAGTGGGTGGAACTTGAAGGCATTTCAGTACCACACAAGAGTAAATTTTCTTTTCAGGCAGAGAGAAGCTGGATGCTACCGGGGGTGTTGTAAAAAGAATTGGTGCATGAATTGGGCATTTGAACTAGATGGGCTGTGATTTCTTCGATTCTGTGTCTCTGCTTGGGTGAACATGAAGATTCTCTTCATTTTGTGTAGAGTACAATTTTGTGATTCAGAGTAAGTGGAGATTGGGTCATGCTTTTATGCCCAGAGGCTGTGTGAATATTCTAGCCACCTGCTGCAAAGCGCTCATACTGAGTAATGTGATATTTTAGATTTGTATGTAATTCTTCCTAGTTTACAAATGCTTTCACTGGCCCCGTTCCACTTGCTCTTCTCCACAGCCACATGGAATAGTTGGTGTTTGCATCACAGGCCAAAAGAGGGGAGATGACTTATGCAGGGTCACAGAGCTGCAGGATCAGCCCTGGAATCTGGGCCTGAATGCCTTTTCTACTTTGTACCATGGATGCTTCCCTTTAGCTGGGCTTGGTTTGCAGGGGGCTGAGTGATAGCAGGAAATACTGCCTAGAAAAACAGAGTAGCATAACTTTATGGTCTAAGTTCCTAAGGGAAACTATGCAGAGGGCCCATCCTGGCTCATGTCCTGTGATGGTTCCCTCGTGGCGGGTCCTTGATGGGGAGAGCGGGACAACCACACACAAGGGACGAATTGGCCTCCCCAACATACTTGGACATGGAAGCTCTCGGTGCTACCATTTATGAGCCGTTTGCTTTGGGTCAGGCACTTTAAAATATATTATCTCATTTAATTTTTAAAGCAGACCTACTCCAGGCAGGCAACTCCTCCTTGGGAGGCAGGAAATTGGAGAGTGAGTTTCTAGTATTTTTTCTGGCCTAAATGCCCACCACCTTTGAAGTCTGGGAAAGTCATCCAATTTGGAATTGTCTCCATTAATATATTGATATATGTTTTTATTTTTTTAAATCCTCACCCAAAGACATGCTTTTTTTAAAGATTTTTAATTGACTTTTAGAGAGAGCAGAAGGGAGAGGGAGAGAGAGAGAAACATTGATGTGAGAGCACAGCATCAATTGGCTGCCTCTTGCGTGCCCCCTGCTGGGCATCGAGCCTGTAACCCGGGCACGTGCTCTGACCTGGAATTGAACCGGAGACCTCTCACTGCACTAGACGACACCCAACCAACTGAGCCACCCCAGCCAGGCGTCTCATTGATATTTAAGCTCAGGAGATAAGCACCACAGGTGACACCAGGCCTCGGCCAGAACCTGGTATATTTGCATCTTGCATTTTGTTACTAGACTCTCTGACTAGACTGTTGCAGTCATTGCAGTGACCTTGCAGCGATGGTTTTTATACAGTCGAGTAGCAAGGAGCCCACTTATGTTATAGCAACATTTTCTATAATGTGTTAACTAGCCTGCGGATGAAGAACCTGAGGTTTGGAAAATGAGTTAATTTGTTCAAGGTCAAAGAATAACTGAAAGAGCCAAGTGTGACGTTGTCTAGGGCCAAAGCCAGAGCCGTTGGCATGGTGCAAACCTCCCCCAGCAGATATGCAGAGCATGGGGGAGGCATTCATTTGCTTTTGTTTTTATTTTTCAGGTTTTTATCTTTCAAAAACATGCCTTTGAGATTTTTATGAACTAAAACGTGAACTGTCTTGAGAGGTGCTTCTGTCCAAGCCTATTGAAGAAATGTAGCACACGGGCGAGCCCCTCGTCCCCGTTGCCATGGCAATTGTATAACAGTTGTCAATGACACTGGACGTGTTTTTGTGGTTGATTAGACACAAAAGGCCTCAGCATTTCACAGGCCACCCTCTTTGTCCTGAAGAGAAAATAGGCCAGTAAGGCAGCATGGGCGACGGGGAGCTTCAGATTTGGAAGCGGCTGTTAAATTCCCCGAGCCCTGGTGCCGGTCCGTTCCTGCCCTGTGTTTCTCATGAGTTCAAGTTTGGCCCGGCCTGGACCAAGCAGAGTTGAGGGGGTTACTTTTCCATTGGCAACAACAGGAGCTTCTTTTGATCCTGAATATTTTCTTGTCCATGTTGTCTTTTCATAGGCGTACCCGAGATCCCATTACTGGTGTTTTTATGTATTTTCCACAAATATCTGTGGTCTGTGAATGGCCAGTTCCCTGGTGATGTAGGAGAGTGTATGGAACGTGGTATTAATTGAGCTCAGAGGCCTCTCCCTTGGGAGGGTGCTCCTTGCTATGAGGTTAGGTGGGGCCATATCCCCAGTGTGTTCACCAGCCCAGGGGCCCCAGCAAATCAGTGCAGGGGGCCCGGAGGCAACACTGGTTCAGGAAAGGGAGTGTTTGCGTGTGGACCATGACAAGGAGAGGTTGCTCAACCTCTGGATGGAGTGGGAGGTGACAGACCAGAGACAGACAGGCAAGGAGGAGACTGCCCTGCTGAGCCGGAGACCTGCGGGGCAAGGCTCCGGCACCAGAGGACTTCTGCACAAAATGTGTGACACCCAAACCTCAACTCAAGGGCCACTCACCTCCTAGGGGAGCTGCCCTTGTACCACCCAGTCCCGCGGTCAGCGTTCCTCTGGGCTCATCTGTGTCCCCAAGTATTGCTCTTGTCACAACTTCTGCTCCCTGAACGCTGGGTTAAGGAGAGGCTCCTTCTGTCTTATCTTTGCATTCCCAGGGCTCGGCCGATGTAGGCGCTTAAATATGGCAGTGATGAGTGAGCAGCTAAGGCGCTGCATCACTAGGGCTTTCAAAATGTGGATTTGCTCTTAGCAGCCCAAACTGCCATTATACAAGGTTGGTCTCACCAGAGTGTGTATGTCGAGGTGGATACTAAATACTAGCGAAATGCACATCATGGATCGAGGCACTGGTGGGGTGTAAGTAAGAAAGCTTTGCCAAGACTCTGCTCTCAGGGAGGTTAGCCGACTGACTTCTAGATCATTTTTAGGTTCTGTCTTAAACTCTGAGGCAGAGTCCCAAGAGGAGCTGAAGGGCAGGTTGGCAGAGTATCCAGCTGACTGTGTCCCAGGGTAGGGACAGCACTGTCTTGGTATCAAGTGAAGATCCCTGAGCCACTCGGAGAGCCGTGGAGCACAGCGTGGCACCCAGCGTCAAAGGCAGCCCGTCCTGGCACCCCGGCTAATTCTAGATAATCCTTCTGAGCTCGTCTACTTCGAAGGGACCCAGGAAGGAAAATATAAAGGGCGAGATACAAATAACTGGAGTTTAAGACGGTGGTTGGTGCCAGTGCATACACTGTCCCACAGAGGCCACATGTGCAGAGGAGCAAAGCTGGAGGTTGGTAAATGCAGATTGTAGTCCCAGCCCTTCTGCTTGGGAAATGCATGCTGTTGAGCAGGTCATAGATTTTTGAACTTCAATTTTCTTTCCTTGAGTGATTGTAGGGGTCAAAGGATGTGAGGTATGTAAAACCCGCCCTGCATCTGAGACCAAGAGCGTGCTCTTTCGTTGCCAATATTGAGTATGGGCGCCTCCCTCACCACCCTCGTAATTACCTGTGGGCATTACCTCTGCTCTGCTCCTGCCCTGTTCTCCCAGGGGCCAGGCAGGTGATCAGTTACAGACCGAGGGACATTGGAGCGATCTCGCTGGCCTGGGGTAGATGGGATGGGTGGGAGGAAGAGGGGGAATCAGGGTTAACTCACATCTGCAGCAGCTCTCAAGTGCGCTCTGCCCTGTGTGGGTGTCGCTCTGATCTATGGAGTACAAAACCCAGCGTTCCTTACACCAGGGCCATGAGGCATGGGGGGGACACTGCACAAGGACCTGGGAAACCTGGAGCCATGCTGTGCTCTTCCACTCGTTAGCTCTGCAGCCATCTGTAAGTGTCCTGACTATTTTGGGGTCCTCAGTTTTGTCTTTTGTGAACTGGGTAAAATAGGGCAGTTCTGTGTGGCCTAAACAAATCTTAAGTTATAACTCATTCCTTTCTCAGCTCTTGGCTAGATGGGATATGACATAGCCTGGAGGGGGTACAGACGCCACTTGATGATAGGACTTAGTTTCCTCTTTAACTAAGAAGAAGGTGGTGAAACCCAGGAGCCTTCTGTGTGCGGTTTTCCTTGGCACTCTGGTATTTCACCTGCCTTCAAAGAGGCCGTGCTCATTCGGTGAAGAAGCTTTGCATTAATCTTGCCCCCTCCCCTTTATTTTCAGTATCCAGCAAGCAGCATTGGTGGTTCTGGAAAATTACTATAAAGATTTCACCATCTATAACCCCAACCTCCTGACAGCCTCCAAATTCCGAGCAGCCAAGCACATGGCGGGGCTGAAAGTCTACAACGTAGATGGTATGTGCCTTGAAACGGTGTCTGTGGTGGGTGCAGGGGGCAGTCGGGGCAACTATTTAGCTTCAACTTCATGGCCCATCTGGTTCTCCCTCTTCTTTGTGTTTGTCTTTATGGTTCATTCTTATTTCAGAACAATTTCTGTCTCTCTCTCTCTCTCTCTCTCTCTGTCTCTCTCTCAAACATATTTCCAGAGGAATGTTGATTTATGGTCTACATCTGTGGGAGGTTTGTTCATTTTGGGATTTTATGATTGAAAACAATAGTGATGTGTGTGTGTGTTTCCTGCCTCCTGCTGGGAACATCTTATATTAAAAGCTATTAGGAAACAGTTGCTTTTCAGAATGTAGATGAAGTACCCAAAGCAAGGACTCAGCCACCCAGACCCGTTAGGACTGTATAACTGTCAGTATTCAGGCATCTGGTGAGATACTTACGAGCATTTCTCAATCCTGGCTTGAAGCTGGAGTTGAGTGGGTGGCGAAGAACCAGAGGCCAGGCCAGGGACATCAGAGCTCTTTCAGGCTATCAGATGGTCAAGTGCGAGAAACAGGACACGGCGGCATTTCTTGCTGGGCCACATGGGTCAGGGCAAGAGCTTTGCAAACCCTACAAGAGGATCATGTTGTTAGCAAGTCAAGTGATTTATAGATGGTGTCAGTTTGGGTGGTGACGTAATATCTTCCGCATTCTAATTTTTATTTTATTATTATTTTTGGCTAATGAGATGTGCACTCTCTCATGAATCCTAAAGGACTGGTGAATTTCTCCCATGACCTGAAAACAGCAAAAATTCCCACTAGGAAAACCAGGTCATTAACCGAGTAGGTGAAACATGAGAGAGCATGAGATCCGCCTCGTCTTCCTGAAAAGTCAGGGTGGTCAGTGGTCAGAGGAACGAGACTGGGACCTCTAAGTCCTTATGAGCAAACAGGCCATTTTGCAGGTCCTCGAACATTGTGGTGTTTTCTGTAAAAGTCGAGGCTGCCGTGACGTTCCAGCAGGGCTGTGTTCCTGTGTGGTCAGTGTCCCTGTGTCCCTGGACTTTGCTTTCCCCTGCCCCTGTTCTCCCGTCCGCCTCTGGCTGTCTCGCTGCTGGACTGTTCCCCCGCCCTCTGTAACCGCTGCAGTGTGACGAGTGGTAGGTAGGTAACATCTTCGCACCGTGTTCCTTTCAGCCATCGTTTGAATTGTCGCACATTCTTCATCTCCTCCTGAGTTCTCTCGCTATTTGCACTGGTCACACTGGGCTTCAGGGAGGTTTCCTTCCTCTCGTGAGCATATTGAATGAGAAACAGGGGTGCCGTTCACCCTCGTGGGAAGTCACTTTGGGGCTTTGTGTCCGCGCTTCCCAGGGAGTGGGTGGACCGTCCTCACAGACCATGGCACTGGTCTTCTGCTCCATTTCACAGCCCCGTGGGGTTAAAACTTTAGCAAATGACCTCTCTTCATTTTTCCTCCGCCGTCCTTTCCCCAAAGGTCCCAGTAACAATGCCACTGGCCAGTCCCGGGCCATGATCGCTGCGGCCGCCCGGCGCAGGGACTCGAGCCATAACGAGCTGTATTATGAGGAGGCCGAACACGAGCGGCGGGTGAAGAAGCGGAGGGCAAGGTACACGGACAGCGAAGGATGCGGGCCTCAGGGGAGCTGGTGGCAGCTGGGACGCGGCAGGTGTGCGGGTCCCGGTGACTCTGTCCTCAGAGCCCGTCCTGAGGTCTCGCTTCCGTTGTCCCCAGGCTGGTGGTCGCGGTGGAGGAGGCCTTCATTCACATCCAGCGCCTCCAGGCCGAGGAGCAGCAGAAGGCCCCGGGGGAGGTGATGGACCCCCGGGAGGCCGCCCAGGCCATCTTCCCGTCCATGGCCCGGGCCCTGCAGAGGTACCTGCGCACCACGCGGCAGCAGCACTACCACAGCATGGAGAGCATCCTGCAGCACCTGGCCTTCTGCATCACCAACAGCATGACCCCGAAGGTGCGCCGTCCCCGGCCTCCAGGTCCCACTGCGGGGCGGCACCGGGAGGGACCGAAGCAGAGGCTCCTTTGAAGCACCAGCTGATAAGAATGGGTTATGCTCCCTTACTTTCTAGTATTTGGGCGCAGTTGGTTTTCCGATGTGCCTTGGAAGGCCCCCAGATTCAAGCCGAGGAAAGACCTGCAGGTAGAGACAGTAGGCGTGGTGCTGAGGGGTCCTCGGTGGGTTCTGGAGCCACGTTGACTCCTTCCGACCTGGCTCCCCCACCAACCAGCTGCGACACTTTGGGCCAACAGCTTAATGGCGCTGTGCCTCAGTTTCCTAATCTGTCAATGGGGGATAATACTGATATTCACTTCACTGGGTTGTGGTGAGAAGTAAAGGAGTTCATTCATGTGACAAGCTTAGACCAGTGCCTGTTATATGGTAAGGACTCAATAAGTGGTTATTATGATTAGAGGTAGAACTAATGCAACGTTTTGGATGTTGTGGAATTGGTGTTACTGAATGGTCTTTTAGATGATGACCTGAGCACACTTTTAGGGCTATTACTAGAAACAGCTAATAGAGGGAGGTTCCCAGGGAGACAAAATAGAGTCAGGCTTTAGCAAATGACCTCTCTTCAGACAGGAGTGGGTTCAGATCCTGGCTCCAGCGCTTTGTTGGTTTGTGACTTCGCATAAGTTACTCTACACTGGTTTCCTCTTTTATGAAACGGGAATGTATAGGATCTGCCCGATGGGGTGGTTGTGTGAGAATTGATCTTGGCATAGAGCACACATGGAACACTTGGGAGCTGTTGTTTTTAGTGTGAGGGCCTGTGTTCCCACATTGTCCTGTACATACATGTACTACTGCTGGTTACATTGTCACTAACCAGTAATGGCCCCCAGGAAAGCAATCCAGAAATATTCAGTAAAAAAAAACACCCATAAGGCTTCCGTATTCTTTGACTCGCCTGGAAAAAACACTCGGCACAATTACGTTTCAGTCTGCCTTTTGCAGAGTGAAAAAAGGTATGAACACCATGGCTGTGAATGATCACAGTGTGTCTGCATGTGCGGAGTGAGAGCCTGTGCCACCAGCAGAAGCTGTTCTTTCCCTTTTCTCAGGATGTGGTAGTTTCCCAGCTACTTTCTTTTTCATTTAAAAAATGAATTAAAAATCATAGTCTTCGTATAAAAGTCCAGACATTAAAGAATAGTATAAAGTACAAAGCAAAGTTTCATTTCCCTACCCCAGCAGTTCTTCCTGATAAGAAAC